AGTGCAGAGTGCGTCGAATCACAAATCCATCGAACCGTTTGCGGATGTCCTCCATGATATCGTCGACCAAAGTCGAAAAGGTGCTCTCGACGAGCTTGTTAACTTCCTTGCCACGGACGACGCGCGTGACGATGTTCTTGTCGGCGCCGCTAGACTTTGCATGCATGCGATCCGCGCGCAGCGCAGCGGCCAGCTTTGTCTTGTACTCGTGAAGCTTCACATCATTCTCCACGTTGTCAAATTTAGCGATCCCTAACAGGCATCCAATGTGCCATACATCCTGGTAATAACGCAATGAGATGAGGCGGTACGACAAAACGACGATTCTATACCGTTGCCATAGTCAATACGGGTGTTGCTGTCATAGCCATGCTCATCACGGAGATCTTCCGCAACTCGCGCGCGGCGCAGTAGGCCGCGTTTGGGGTACGCATGACATGCGCTTCGTCGACGATGAATACGCCATACTTGTGGCCGTATAAGGTTTTCTTGCGCGCGTCATCCCCCATAGTGGCTTTGTACTGGACGTCGCCGTGCCTCCGTCCCTTCCTCGCCCTTAGGTCGTTGATGCGGAATACGGCATCGCAATCCGAAGCTATGGCCTACGCCGTGTGCGTTCAGGAAATGACAATGCAAAATCGTGTCAAACTTACTGAATGGGTCGTTAAGATAATTTGTCGCGACGGTGGATGCTTCGACTTTGCATATACCGAGGCCCACCAGTCGCCGCGGTGGCTATAAGTCCCTGCGTGAGGAAGGAGATCCATGGAACCTTTTGCGATATAACGATGGATTTCCTCCGTCCATTGCGACACAAGTGACGTCGGGACCGATATGATCATCGGGCGATCAGGGAGGTTGCCGTCCTCGGTGTGAGGATATTTGACTTTGGCTGCGAGAAACGTCAGTACCGTATGTCCTAGACACACGCATGAACACTCACCCCACTGACCCGGAAAACACTCATGCTCGACGTAGTACTGGCGCGCATAGTCGTACATCGCGCACAGACCCACCGCCTGCATTGTCTTCCCAATACCCACCTCGTCCATGAGCAGCATGGGTTTGCCCAAGAACAGGTTGTCGAGCAGCTTCAAGAGTCCGACAAGTTGGTGCCAGCGCGGAGTCAGCAAAGTGGCCTTGGAGCCCTTCAGGACCGCCTGTCCTTGTTTTGTCCACGCGTCGAAGGTGCCGTCAGGATCTTGCAATGTCGCAAATCCTGGTATGACCTTGTCTCTTAGTCCCAGTCGATCCCATACCTCATCCAGAGTGAGATTGGCGTATTCCTCGACACCTTCTCTCCAGTGGCCAACCTCCGCCCTGTTGAAGTTTAGCTCCTGGATTTCTACTGGTTCACCGTGGACAATTGATATGATTTCAGAGCGGATGGCTTCTATCTCATCCTGGGACGCCAACTGCAGGAGCGCGACTCTCAATGCCTTTGTGAGTGCTAATCATGTCTGTCAGCGCAGGGCCGCAAGCAAACAATGGGGGGCTTACTTATCGTGCCGCCAGCAATGTCTTTGCCAGATATCAAGTCCAACATATCCGTAAGGTGCTTCTGGATATTTTGCATTTCTTTCATCGCCTCCTTCTCATGCAGCCGCTCTACCAACTCGGCAAGCTGGGTAACGGTCGAGAGGAACTGCATGATGCGATGTGCCGTGATGATTGCCTCCCCGTTCTGCAGGTCTGCGGCGCGGATCAGTGAGCTCTCATGTGTCTACGCTTAGCTAGAATGTACTTACCGCTCCACTTCTCCCGCACCGCACTGAGTTTGCTGTCCAAATGCTTGTGCTGCCGGAATAAGAAAGCGGTCCACCGTCTCCACGTTCCGATCATCAGCGAATTCAAGAACGGGCATATGTGCTCATGGACGACTGATGCCATCATGATTGCCTCGTCCCCGAGAATCGCTTGAGCCAGTTGGCCATATTCACCCACGACACCGGTGGCGAAGACAGCAGGCAACTGTCGAATCATAGCATCATTATAGTCATGGAACTAAGATGCCAACATGACCTACCTTTCGTGTAGGAGAGACTTTGATCAATTCCATGGGGTGACGGCCAGTGTCTTCCAGGAGTTTGTCGATCTCCTTGGACAATACTCTACGCCCAAGATCATTCACCCACGCACACCACTTTTTACGGCCAACAGCGTCTGAGTCCTCTTCGTCCGAGTCTGTCTCTGAATTGACCGACGCGTCGTCCAACGCCTCTTTGCGTTTCATGCCCCGCTTACCGCTCGTCTTCAAGTATGCCGCACGACGTTTCCAGTTCGACGATGGAATCGCTAAATAGTTAGCAACGAAAGCCTTTACTTTGGCCGCATCGTCCTGGGTCCACTCAGAGGGCAGAGACCCAGGCGCACCACTCCAGGGGGCCGCCGTCAGGCCGGTGGTTGCCTGCCAGGTGGACCACTGCCAAGGCTGGCCCTCAGTCTCATACAGATTCAATAACGCGCCAGGGATTTTTGCGGAGGGCATTTTTGCAGCAAGGGAGGGAGTTGATTGGGGAGGTAGATTGGATGGCAGCTGCTTAAGTATCGTCCCGGAGACTTCTGCAGATACTCATCTCCCTGAACTACATCCCGCGCACGCCGCGTAGAGGCAGATCGCATGCTCCCAAATGCATGTATCGCATGAGGCGCACAGTGCTTGATGCATTTGAAACGCATACTTTGCCCCCCACCGCTATGTTCCCGCTAGCGTGCTGCGCACGCCTCGCGTATGCAAGCGGATCACCGTATCTGTGACCAAATGAAGATGTTTCCTCTTACACCAAGCTATGAGCACATGCACGCTTGCGCCCCTGCAAGCTGATGCGTGCGTCGCGGACGCACGCCTGGCTTGCAGGCAGAGGCGCCTAATGCCTCCTCGCAGCGTGTCCGGAGGTACCTACCTGCGTACCACTCTCGTGCGTGCGTCGCGGACGCATGCCGTGCCGGTAGCTTGTCGGGTGTGCGCACGCCCTAGGCGTGCCCGGGCGGACATCGCCGCGCACCATTCTTCACCGCTCACTCTGTCACGTCGTGCGTGCGTCGCGGACGCACGCATGGCTTGCAGGCAGAGGCGCCTAATGCCTCCTCGCAGCGTGTCCGGAGGTACCTGGCTGCGCACCGCTCCTCACCCTCACTCTGTCACCCC